TGCGTCATCTAATTCACTATTGATTCCCTGTGGTGTACTTTTCATTCCAGTTATTGTATTCTTCAGCTCTGTGTTTTTAAAAATATTTTCTATCTCTTTGTTGAAGCATCTTTATGACAATTATTTTGAACTATTTATCTAGTAGATTGCTTATCTCCATTTCATTCAGCTCTTTTTCTGATATTTTGTTCTTTCATTTGGAATGTATTTCTGTCTCTTCATTCTGTACTTGTTTCTGTGTATTCAATAGATCAGTGACATCTGCCAGTCTTGAAGGAATGACTTTATGCTGATATTGTCCAGTGATGCCTATAATGCAGTCCCCCGCCAGTCACCTGAGGCAGTTCTAGGAGTAGGCTATGTGCACACTCCTGTTGTGGCTGAGTAACGATTGGTATCAACTTATAGGTGTGCAGGGCTATACCTTGGTGTGGCTGTCTATAAGACCCAGCCATGTGTTCTATAGGTGCATTGGTGAATGGGGCTGGTTCCCAGCCTGTCTGGCTGGAAGGCCTGGCTTGCAACTGCTATGAGTGCTCTGGTGTGCAAAGTTGACCCCATGTGCATCTGGCTGTGAGATCTGACTGTGACAGCTGTGTAGGGGGGTGTGCCCTGGAGCAGGGGCCCTTGGTGAGGGCACCGGTGCCAGGAAGGCTGCCCCTGGTTGTGGTGGAACAGAGGGCCATTTGGGATGGGTTATGGCGCAGGCTGAGACAGCCTGCTGGGTGTGAGGGCAATATCTGCATTCAGATAATGCCTTTGTATTACTTTATGAAGGTAAGGAGACCTGAGCATATTTATAGGCTAGTGGAGGAAACCAATAGAGAGTGATTAAAAATACAGAGAAACGATAATAACCAGTGAAAAGAGACCCTAGGAAAGGTTGATGTTTCCTAGGTGAAACATAAGTTTTCACTGATGTGAAAGCAGAAGATTAGTCTTGATCAGGATTCTTCTGTTTTAGGAGGAAAAAAGATAAAGGTGAACACAAAATACAGATATGTTTATAGGGTGTTTAAGCAGAAAGTTTGATATTTGCAAGTTGAGGTTTAAGTTATATGCTACTAAGAAATTATTATTAAAAAATTATACCTGCTAGCATTTGACTGCTTACTATATGCTGTAAACAATAAGAGTTTTAAAAAAAACACTATCTCACTTAATTTCATCCTACAGCTCTATGAGGAAGGTAGTATCAACTACTTCTCAGTCAAAGGATGCTGTGCTTAATGAGTCTAACTGACCTAAGCTTATGGAAACATTGAGTATCATACCAGAACCGGTCTTTTGAGCCTGGGTGGTTCTAACTCCAGGCACCTATGCTCTTGCGCACAGTTGTGGTGGCTTAGGTGTTGAAGAGAACGGTGGACATTGGCAGAATGGAACAGAATGACCATCATGAGCACGTGAAAGGATCGTCAGTCCATGAAGGGTGCAAGCACAGCTGGGAACTGCAAACCTGCTGCACACCCACAGCTGACATGGTCTCCAGCAGCCTAGGGGCATGATGGTGAAACAGAGAATTAGGATAGGAATTGTTTTAGTTCCAGGCTGGGTGGACGAGAATGTTCAGGTATAGCGTAGCAAAGAAATTCATGAATTCTAGGGATAAAAAGGAACCCCTATGAGAGTCCTAACAGTAAATGCAAGGAAAGGAAAAAGAAAGCATTGGATTTTTGTAAAACTGGAAACTAAAAGACAGAATAGCATCTCTAGACTCCTAACTGGAAAGGGACTGTACCCAAGAGTTCTATACCCAGCTCTGTGCCTGTCAAAGGTAATGAAAGACACTGGTAAATAGCTAGAGTATATCACCCACCTGAGAAAAATACTTGAAAGAAGAGAAAATAACACAGGGGTGAGGAAAGAAAACTCAGCTTAGAGAAAAGATAGGAAGTAGGTGAGTAAAGATGCATGAACACGGTTAAATCTTAAAGAACAAGGAGATACTCAGGGAATGTAATGTAACAAAATAAGGTTTCTTGACACAGACTATACATAATAGAAGATGATTCTAATAAGATTGCAGAACAATGTACTAACACTGTTTAAGAAAATTTTAGTATTAATGAGGAGGAAGAGGAAAGTGAAACTATTTTAAAAGTCTTGTGTGGACAAAGCACCTGGAAATAGAGTGTTTGGGTGGATAAATAGAGCCCTTTAAGTTTCCACCTTACGTAACTAAGCAGTCACCTGGATAAAGAAGAACATTATAAAATAATAAATGGCACATAGTTACATGGAAGATAAAGATCATAACCTAATTTATCAAACAACGTAGCAACTCAGATCTAAAATAGAAACTATTAGAATTGCAATGAGAACTTACAATACAATGTAAAGGAAGAAAGAGGTCAATATACTTGTCTTGAGAATGAACTGGTACAAAAATAATATAGGTGTAAGATAAATTCTGGCCGAAATAAGCAGGCGAAGAGAGGCAACAAAGGGCCAGGTAGTTTATTTGAATGCAAACACCCGGGCGAGATTTCCCCAGTCTCTAGAAATGGAGGCTGGGGAATTCGCACGTAAGCAGACAGGCAGCGAGTTTTGAAAGAAGGTAGGGGGAGGCAGAGCTTAGATTTACAGCAGCATGAGGATTGACTAGCCCAAGGCACATTTTTCAGGTTGGGGGGTCAACAGGCAGGGACTTTGACACGTCATCAGTGTCCGATGTGGGAGGGGGCAGCAGCTGGGGACTTTTGCACATCAGTGTCTGATGTGCTTGCTCTTCCCATCAGTGCCCCCAGCCTTACAATAGGAACATAGAGGAATTGAATCAATAAACTTGAATATAAATACACAACTCATCCCTCAGAGAGTAAATTTTTTTTATGTCCATTGAACTTTAACAAAAATCAAACATGTAGTTGGAAAATCTTAACAGGTTAACCTTAACAAATTGAAGAAATAAAACAGATTTACAGACCACATTCTCTGGTTGCAGACCAATAAAATTAGAATATATAATGACAAATAGCTAAAACTTTATAGACTTTAAATTTGAGAAACACATTCTTTGACATGACTGAGATCAAAGAAGAAATCAAAAACTAGAACTACAAACTAGAGAACAATGAAAAAGTATTCTCCGTCCTCAAAGATGTGTAACCTGCACTCAGAGGAAAAATTATGATTAAATTATTTCTTAATTAAAGAAGAAATATAGAAAACCAAAGAACTAAGTAAGCATTTTAAATTCAAATAAGAAAATGTAACCAAAAAAAAACTAGTGAGAAGGAATTAAGATAAAAGCCGAAATCATGGATCTAGAACACTGAAAATGGTGCATACAAATCCCTAAGCCGATATCTGTGCAAATGCAAATGCCAGGTGTGTTATAGATCAGTATGTATGCAATGGAGGCGGCATATGGCTTCTCTGTGGGGAGTTTTGGCTGTAGGCTCTTCTCCCCACTCCCCAGTCTTCACTTACCTCCGATTCCTGTATGGAACTAAGTGGTTAACTTGAGTGATGGCGAGCTTGGAGGGTTCTGTTCAACCATAATCATAAGGCTGGAGGGGATTTTGGTCATGTAGCCTCCAGCTGATATTCCATTTCTAATAACAGTTGCAGTGGAAGCAGATCTGTGAACCTTTGAAATGTTAAATCAGTAAGAAAAGTCTCATTTAGAAAAGACCCTAAAGCATTATTAGATTATAGTTGTGTGCACTAATGGGAATTTGTTGTATTTATTTTAAGATTTATTTTTATTCTTCTCCTTTATTCATCATACCTCTCTAAAAAACTGTTAATTGTAATACTTAATCTCTGAGGTTAATAAAATAGACTTGTTGCTAATTTAAAGAAGAAATTTCATCACTCAATGTTATAAATTTGAGTTAACTTTGAATAGCTGTTGGTATTTCCTGTGTATTTTGGGTTTTTCCTATCTTTGTCCCTCAGCTCATCACTGGCAGTGATCATTAAGGATCAGCAGTGGCTGTTTATTTTTGACTCAGGTTGAGCTGATGGCAATAAGACATTGTAATTGCTTGGTCTGCAGAGAGGATATGGGAGGGAGGAGGCGGTATGGGAGAGTGTATCTGTTTCTTTGAAAATGTACAAAACCACACTGTGCTAAGAGAATAGACTGTCTTCCTTTTAGGTCTTTACTACTAATTTAAAGGTGAGAAGAGTGTGTATGTGTGTTCTTTACAGGAGAAGTGCAAGTTTGTTGAGCATGATGTCTGATAAAACATGGAAAGGAGGAAGAGAGGACCTCAACACTAGAAAAACATCTCCTATTATGGCTTGCTATTTACCTTGGTTTTGAGGCCTTTTGTATTCTAATGACCCAGGAAAACTACTAAACACAGTTAACAGCAGTAACGGAATCAAATCTGTCTTAAATTATTGTTCTTCCTCTAGCTGGGATATTTTTAGTTATGTTTGGAGGAAAACCATACAAAAGAACCTTTTTGAATCCTATGAACTGTGTATATAGGTCATGACCAAAGATAAATTTGCATCTATACATGACACCTTCCTTTTTATGTACTTCTCCCATTTTTCAAACTTACCATACTAGAGCTAAGCTTTTCTTGATTATTAAACTGATTTTCCTCTTTTCTTTCAGAGAACAGCTGGATAAATCATTTTTATTTTACTGTTCATTTTCCTATTGATACTAGCCTCAAAAGAAAGGAGCACAATGTCTTTAGACCAAAGACAATGGGATGGTTTTCACCATTGGTGTGATTCTGGTGATGGATATCTGGGAGCTTTACATTCATCCATTTATTCCTGAAAACAGATCACCCTAACTATTGGACCTCACTTCTTTTCAAATGTGTATGTTCTCCTTCTGAGCATACTTTTCAAACAACAGGATGTTTTAGGACATTTGTGAAATAGTTATTTTTACTCACCATTCATTTCATGTTTTTCATGTACTTTCATGAATTTTCTAAAATTTTTTCTTGTCGTTTTAGGTTTCAAAAAGAAATGGTGAAACCTGAATATGACCTTGTCTTTGTTCTCTTTGTATCCCTTTGTAGGATGAATATAAGCCAGAAAAGGCCCTGTCTGAGGAGGATTTGAAAAACGCCGTGAGCGTGCACCATGCACTGGCATCCAGGGCCACGGACTACGAGAAGAAACCGAATGTGCTTAAACTTAAAACTGCCGACTGGAGGGTCTTGCTTTTCCAAACCCAGTATGTGCCGTTAGTTTGGCTGTTTTGGTTTTTAATTTGCATGTGCACCACTTCATACCAAGGCATCGAATCAGGGCCTGCAGGTGACTTCTTGAGTTGGGGGTCAAAGTCATTAACTGGTTGCATTAGACAGACAAGCCTGAGAAAAGGAGTGTAAGAAATGGAAACCCTGGTTCAGCTTTGTTGCTTGCTGCAAGTAGCCCTGGGGAGTTTAGCCAGCTACTCACCATCTCCAGAATTTAGTATCCTTGTGAATAAAATACCAGGGTGTAAGTGTGCAAGTTAACACACAGCGAGTAAAATAGACCTGGGATCAAATCACCATTTCCTAGCTCTTTGTCATGGACTCTGGTTTAACCTCTGTGAGCCCTGGCTTGTCTCCAGTGTAGGTAATAATGTTTCTCTCATGGGGTTCTTGCCAGAGTTAAACCAAGCTGAGTGTATGAAGTACCTCACACACTGCCTCACACCTAGAAACTGCTCAGTGTCCATTACTGTTTTATTCTCTCCTCTCTCCTGAGCTCTAACAGGAGATAAGCTAGAAGGAAACGATAAAATCATGTTGTGGACAAGGAAGTAGGATGGACTGCCAGTTTAGTAAGGGGTCTGTGACACCTTTTTGATTAGAAGTGGAACATTCCACATAGAGAACTCTGGATTTGTGAAGTCAGAAACTGGATTTTCAGAGCTGAGCCCCTACAATAGGAATCTTATATGAGCACACCAGCACCAGTGCTCTAGAATGGGGGCGTGCCCACACCAGTGCTCTAGAATGGGGACACCAGCACCAGTGCTCTAGAATGTGGGCACGCCCGCACCAGTGCTCTAGAATGGGGGCGTCAGCACCAGTGCTCTAGAATGTGGGCACGCCCGCACCAGTGCTCTAGAATGGGGACACCAGCACCAGTGCTCTAGAGTGGGGCCCCACCAGCACCAGTGGTCTAGAATAGGGGTGTGCCCTGCACTAGTGCTCTAGAAGAGGAGCATGGGCACCAGAGTCTGTGGCCAACAGTGTGAGTTATTCATGGCCTGCTTTCCGCAGCCTGAGCTTGACGTCAGAATCACTCTCAACCACACCACCATTGGCCGCATTTGTGCTGGAATGCCAAAGTGGGCATTGAGATAGTGCACACAGGCACCTGCCTGCTTGTTCATCAGCAATGTGAGATCAGAAAGGAAATAACAAGAGCAGGCACTCTGGTGATCTGTGGATGTTGAATTTGCAAAGGTATAAAATGGTTGACATCAGGTGAAGAGGAAGCTGTAAGATTCAAGCAAGGTAGGATGTTGTTAGTGTGGGAGGGAGAGAGCTTTACTAATACAACGGGAACCATGTCCACATGTATAATTACAGCTATTAGTCATAAAAGTCCTTCAGAACATTCTATTTCCCAGCATTATTTTTTTTTTTACTGTCAGTACCGGATATGACAACTAAGGAAATCTAATCACTTCAGATAGAATTTTTGCATAAATCAGTCAGTTGAAATATCAGGGCTGGAGAAATCAGATGAGCAAGGCACACGGGGTGCAAGGAGGGTGATGCTGCGCGCAGCCTCAGGTCACTGTGGTTTCTATGAAGAGTCATAATGGAAATGATTTAAGAGCACCTGACATTCTGTCCATCCTGTGTTTATTGATTGCATACACGGTGGATCCTCTGTCCTGGCTCACGTCTACCATGCAGGAACGAATTCACAAATACGTACTACGCGCTGTGAGAGCCGACTCCACAAATACAGGATGTGCAGATCAGAAGTGTGATGGCATCAGATGATTTCCACATCCTCTTAGGTCAATTTTTAACATTCGCTTAAGGTACACTTATATAGCATTTAACTTCACCATTTTTAAGTGTACAATGATTGTTAGCACATTTAGAGAACTATGAAGCCATCACCACAGTCTAGCTTTGGAGCACTTCCATCACCCTGAAGAGACCTGCCCCATGGCCTGTTTCATAGCCCTGGCTCATTTTCACCCCCAGCCCAGCCCGCGGTCACCTTTCTGTCTCTCAGTATCACCTTTTCTGCACTCGCATATAAATGGGATCATACAGTGTGTGGTCTTGTGTGTCTGGATTCTTTTCCTCAGCCTAAAGTTTTCCAGGTTCATCAGCCTGTATCTGTACCCCATGCCCTTCTTGCTGAGTAGTGTTTATATGGCTATTATCACATTTTGTTTATTCATTCACTTTTGGATCACTTTCCCTATTTGACTCTTATAAGCAGTGCTGCTATGAACATCAGCATACAAATCTTTTTGTGCCTATATGTTTTTACTTCCCTTGGGTATATATATACCTAGGAGTACGATTGCAGGGTTGTGTGATAAATGTGCAGTTAACTGCTTAGGAAACTATCCAAACTGCTTTCCAAAGTGGGTGTACCCTTTCACAGTCCCTCTATCAATTTATCCCTCAGTTGCATTTTGAAATCAAATATGTGATTGTAAGTGATGTAATTTTTTTATTAATTTTTGACTTAACCTAGTATCAAACAGAAAATAGGGGTTTAATAGCTATTTACTGTCAAGTGATTTTGCTTTCTTTCCCTGTGTCTTTGAGGGATGATCATAGCCTCGCACCATGATGCTCGTAGGTTCCAATCACACCATGGTGATTGCTGTTGGAAATGTCAGTCTCCACGGAAGCTTTGTCAGGGACTCACTGCACCAAGAAGAAGAAGAAATGGTTCTGTGTGCCATTTGAAATCCATAGCGAGAAATGGGCAAGGTGTGACACCCTGACATACAGAAAAACCCTGACATGATTGTATCTGTTTCTTGTAGGAGTCCAGAGGAAATGCAGGGGTGGATAAACAAAATCAACTGTGTTGCAGCTGTATTTTCTGCGCCACCCTTCCCAGCAGCCATCGGGTCTCAGAAGAAGTTCAGCCGTCCACTTCTCCCTGCCACTACAACAAAATTGTCTCAGGTGAGGACTTTTGATGGCATTTTGATCTTGGAAGAAAGCACTGTGTAAAATAATCTTACTAATATTTGTATTTGAAGAATACTCCTTATTTTGGGGGCCAGGATGAGACCTTGCCCTAGGAGGGCATGTTATATAAATGGGGCAGAGTGCGGCATCCTGGGCTGTACACTTACAGGAAGCTGACATGGCTGAGTCAAGGTTAGCAGGACACATACTTTGAGTTATAGTTGACCCTTGAGAAACATGGGTTTGAAGGGCTCAGATTCACTTATATGTAGATTTTTTTCAATAAATATATTGTGAAATGTGTTGGAGACTTGCAACAATTTGAAAAAAAATTTTTTTCCCTGTGTACAATACATACAACATACAAAATATGTGTTAGTTGACTGGTTATGTTACCAGTAAGGCTTCTAGTTAACATGTGATTAGTGGTTAAGTTTTCGGGGAGTCAAGGTTATATGTGGGTCTTCAACTGTGCAGGTATTCAGCACCCCCACACCCCTCATTGTTCAAGGGTCAACTGCAGTTCCTAAAATTTATATTGGTTTACTACTTAGCCAATCACACAGGCCTAGTGGTTTTTATTTGTTCTAACAGCTCATAGTTTTTAACTGGCTAGCTAACATTAGATGTTAACATCCTGGCTTCTTGGCAATAAGTTTTTTATTCATTCATTTTTTTCATTTTATTACACTTTTCCTGTAAACCAGGCTGTATGTGATGGCTGGGTGTATAAACATGTTCCCAGGTGGCCACTGTTCATGTGCAGTGGGACAGCGCCTTCCCTGCCCCTCAGGGAGAAGCAAAGTGGACCATGTGGGTTTTCTGAGCTACCTGGACGAGGTACACTAGACCTTTCTTCCACGTGTATTCACAGAGCTGTCTTGTTGGCACACTGGCCTCTAAAGAGCATACTTTATCATGTCCCTCTTCTACTGAAGCCCTGTCCCAAGCCAGGCTTGCCAATTGTAAACCTGTCTGTGGTAGCCCTGTTACCACTGACTAGTTAAGGGTTTTGGAAGCTACTTGTATTTGATGGCTCTATGCATTTCTTATTGATGCAATAATAAAAATACTTTCATCTGGCTCGAATCAACCCGGTTCTGATACTAACTGGCTCCTCTGCACACCCGACACCAGGCTCATCAGTGGTATTTCTGTAAGGATGTATTATGTGCCTGCTGTACTTCAGAAACTGTTTCAGGCTCTAGAGACAGAAAGGCAAGTGCAACCCAGACCTCCCTGGGATCGGGCTGGCAAATACAAGCAAGCAGTGGTAACACGGCTTGATTAGAGGTGCAGGAAGCACACACCCAGTGTGCTGTGGGGGCACAAGGAGAGGACATCTAGCCAGGCCTTGGTGGTGACGCAAGAGCCACATCTAAATGCAGCTTAAAGGGTGAGCAGCAGCCTGGTGTGGGCTAGGTAGAGAGAACGGCCCAGCCGAGGATCAGAAAGGCCTAAAGGAGAGAGCGCTGGGGTACAGGAACCGCACGCAAGTTCCTGAAGGTGCCTTGAGCACAGAGTGTTGAGAAAGGGCAAGAAACGTTCCTCGGGGGAGGGAGGCAAAGGCCACGCGATGGCAGGCCTTGTGTGCTGTGTGCAGGATCCTGGGTGCTTCCTAGGCTCCCCACCGTCCTTAGGGTGAGAGCTCAAAGAGAGAATGATGTGACCAAATCTGTGCTTTAAAAATTGCTCTAGTTACAATAGGAAGAAAGTATTAGAGGAAGAAACTACCAGAATCAGAAAGGCTAATTTTAAAGCCTTTTGGTAAAGCAGAGGAAAAATAATTCAGTTGTAGAAGAAATGGATAGAAGTGGAAGTAGTTGAGAGACCGTGTGGGTGTGGAACGGGTGGCCCGGAGGCGCGGAAGCAGAGGCCCAGGGCCGCCGCCCTGAGCCGGGGGCCCGGGGCCGTGCTGACCCGGCTGCGGCGCCGCCTCGCCCCCGCCCTGCCTCCACCTCCCAGGGGCCTCTCCTGGCCCCTCCTCCTCCCCCTACCGCCAGAGGTCGCGGAGCTCAGAGAGAGAGAGAGCAAAACAGACATGTGAGAACCATTTTTTTCAAATCAAGAAAAAAACAATACTGTGCCAAGAAGAGGGGAGAAAGGCCAAGTACAATCAGAATGAAAAATACCTCCTGTGCGGTGGTGGGAGGTCACTGGGCCCCTTGGTGGGAGTAGTTTCGGGAGGGTTGGGAGGAGAATCCACTTCGGCTTTCTCCGAGGAGGGAATGGCAAGTAGTAAGGAGTGAGGGTGGGAGTGTGTACCAGCCTTGCCGTAAATTTATAAAAACAGACTAATAGTAAGAAGAGAGGACACATGGTTTCATGACTTTTTTTCATTTCTATAAATTCATAATTATCATTAACGTGAATTGGATGCTCACCATGGAAGCACTGCTATTACTATGTGGTTTGTATAGTACTGAAAAGACTGCACGGATAGAGAGGACCAAGCCAGTTTACTTTACAAGGCAGGATGGCATTTGATTTTCCGGGATAATAAAGATGCTAAGAGCAAAGGAAGGCTTTACCTCTTAACTGATGACCAGAAGGTACGTTGGCAGACTGCTTCAGCTACAATGTGAACTCTTCAAGCAAATGCATCTACCCACTTTAATTTTGGGTACTTGACATAAATGTTAAGCCACATTATGTAAGATAAGAGGACAAAAACAACTTGTAACAACTAGAGGCAAAAATATAGCCTCAAAAGTTGGGTCTTGTTCTATTGATTTCACTGGGGATTTTCCAGTTGCTCTTATTTTTCAGCAGACTGGCGTGTCTCACAGTCCCTCCTCTAAAAGGCCCATGGACAATGTGAGTTGGAGCTAAAGAGGAACATAAAAAGCAGAGAGCAGCATAAGAGTTTTGCCTTATTCCTCCCTCACTATAGAATCTGCATTTCGATTTCCAAAATGGTACTACTGTCCTGTTCACATAGAGGAGACACATCAGTAAGTCCCTTGTATGTGGAAATGAATGTGTCCACCTGTTTTATTCTTCACACAAAACCAGGCAGTCAAGCACGTTTATCAAGGCAAAAGCTCTCATTTTAAACAAATGCCTTACTCAGAAACAAAGAATAGAATGCATACATTTTTTATATTTTCCCTCATTTTGAACATAAATCCACAGAGATGAAAAAAAATGCACAAGTAATTTGATCAAAATGATGAATTCAAGATTTTAAATGTGAAAGCAAAAAGCAGAGGCATCCTCTAGGGTCATGTTAGACTGATGGCTGAGCCCTTTCAGGAATTTGATTTCTTTCTAAAAGAGCACAATGATTTCCTTCCCCTCAAGTAAATCACCAAGCCTTTGTGGGCCTCAGCTTTCCATTTGGGAAATGAGATCATTTTGGAATGTTTTTAAGTTTGTTTCTATCCCTGTATTTTTTGCTCAGGTCATAAGATTTGTTTACTAAAAATGAGAAAGATGTTTTACCTTTGAGAGTAGTCACACGATTTAGGAACAAATATGTGAAACCAAGCCTGTGACAATGAGCAGGTTACAAAGAGGAGAGCAGAGCTAGTTTGCACAGAGCCTGGGCAGCGATTGAGGTGCCCTCAGCTCCCAGTGGGCTCCTGGGTGTCCTTGCTGGAGCCTAGCACCTTCAGGACTTCTGCAGTGTGCGTCTGGGTCACACGAGGTCTCCGGCCGCTGGAAGACCTGTCCTCATCCCCCCACCAAGCCATCCTCAGCCCCGGCACTACTGGCGTTTTAGCCTGCGTGGTTCTGTGTTGTGGGGTCTGTTCTATGAGTCGGTATTTAGCAGTACCCCCAGCCCTCCCCACTAGAGGCCTGTGTCGGCCTGTGTCATCCCCAAGTTGTGACAACAGAAAACGTCTCAGACATTGCCGAATGCCCCGTGGGCTCACGGTCCAGCCCACCACTGAGAACCATTGCTCTTGCCCAGCAGTGTCCCCTTTGCACACCCAGAGCCTGGCTGTGACCCCCTCACTGTGGACCCACTTGGATGATTTCACTTCACAAAACATGTGTAACCATATGAGGGCCCTGCTGGAAAAAAGTTAAACAGTGTTAGGAAAAAGCTACACATTCAATTAAGAGATTGTCTGGGGTTTTTAAACACACACTGTTCATCACACTGTCATTTGCGAGCTTTCTGTAATTTCTTCTTCTCTCTAAACAGGTTAGCCTTCGTCATGAAAATGGATTGTTGTCAGGGCAGCGTGCTTCCCTTTGAACAACCTGCTGTGTAGGAGTCTTCCTGCTTGTTGCTCATGGCAGTGTTGCCTGGGCACCTTTTTCTTCCTCTGTTGGGGGTGGAGAGATGAATTTGAAAATTTTTTGTTTCTCCTGGTGTCGCACTGCAGACTTAGGGTGTCATGGCCCACCCTCTTCAGGATCTAGGCAGAACCCCCTTTCTACTCATTCAGATAGATGTTATCAAACTGTAATGTGCACAGAATTTTCTGGGGAGTTGTTTAAAATGCACATTCCCCAAGTGCAGGCCAGGGGCCTGGGTATATGCATTTCTGAGACACACCAGGTGTGCAGCACCCAGGCGGGGGCCATCCTTGTAGAGCTACACCGTGACCATCCCTGCCTCCCTTACCCTACGCCCCACTCCCTGCACCCCGTCACGTTACCACTTCCTGATGGGGGGTGCGGTCTTCCTCCTCCACTTCCGCAGTATACACCACGGATTGTCACCAAGCGCTAACCATTGAAGGCAGGCCTCGTGAACTCTGGCCTGGCGCTAAGGACAGTCTGGTGCTTGCTTCTCACCTATCACTTTAAGCTGTGAAGTGACCACTGTGGGTTGTGCAAAGGGCCAGATGAGTGGGGCGATGCTGGTGTATACACAGGCCCTGTTCGCATAGGGCAGGGAGAGTGCAGAAAGAGGCAGGCCACTCTGCTGGGTGGGTGGCAGGGTCAATGAGCAGGGGACCTCCCTCCAGGCTAGCCTTGGGTGGTCTCAAGATGACCAGGACCCTGCGGCCGCTAGCATTGTAAAAGCTTATGAAGAGGGTGCAGCAGGGCTCGGTCACACCTACCATCCAGATGGCCTCTGCACACAGCGCCATCCCAAGGCCGTGTGCTCGGGCAGCTCCTGGTGTGGAGAAGGCAGGCAGAGCCCCCGTTCCAGGCGCAGGGTAGGGTGAGGGGCCTCCGGCTGCCTGTCCAGCTCACCCACCGCCCGATGGCCACTTCCTCGGCATGACAGGCAGACCCCAGGAGCCGCTGGACCTCAGAGGAGGAAGGACCCTTGTAGTCATGTCCCTCCCCAGCCAGAACCACACCCTCCCTGCCCCACTCATTTCATGCTTCCATCACAAGCCCTGCCACTTCAACCTTTCAAATGTCTCTCATGTCCTACTCCATCCCCGAAGTCAGACTTCTGCAATCTCTTACCTAGATCCCTCATCTCCCAACTTCTTTGATCATTCACCTTATCAATAATAAATATTTGAGCACATATCCTCCAATATATATAATTTTTTATAACATGTACTTTATGCCTTATCAATACAACATGGAAACATGCAGAACATCATTAGTCATTAGGAGATGCAAACCCTAACCAGGAGATACCCTTCACTCCCAGTGAGAGGCTGTAGCTTGCATTTTTAAGGAAAACACCATGTTGGTGAGGATGCACAGGGACACGGCTGCTTTGGAGAAGGGTTTTGTGGTTCGTCAGCTGATCAAACAGAGCTAAACTGTGACCTGGCATTCCACTCGTACCTGGCACACTGGAGGCTGGAAACATACACCCACACAAAACTGTGCGCACAAATACTGCCAACACATTATTCATAACATGAATTAAGAAGACTTAATGATGGGAAGACTTAAGAATGAATCTTCCCATCTTTCACCCCCTCCACCTGTTCATGTCACCTCTCTCGTTTATTTTTCCACTCATACTGTGCTTTTTAAAATGTTTCCTTCTATTTTGATGGCTTTAGACTTGGGGTTTTTTTCTTTGCTTGGCTTTTAAGATGTGTATTATAACAAATCCCTAAGATATTATACGTGACCCTTATAATATCTGAATATCTTTTTTAATGTACAGTGATATCATCTTAATTCAGTGTCCATAATTATTCCTTTTCCTGGGTCATATAGTCGCCATCTAATTATTCCCTTCACACTACAATAACATTTTTATATTTTGAAATTGTGCTGGTGTTATACAAAGTGTATTTATCACCCAGTGTCAGTTCCTTTCCATCTGCTTTCATCCACTTATTTCTTACTGTGCATGTGAAATGTACACTCAACAAGACTGAGTAGTTCACATGTAAGAGTGGAACAGAAAGCAGAGCAGGCAGACGCTTACAGGAGTGCAAGAGCATTCCGGGCTCTGTTTATTTTAAATGCTGCCCGAGGCTTTGATAGTGTCTCTTGCTAAGTAGCTCATCGCTAAGGTGAGGTCAGTGGCGCCCCTGGAATGGAAACACTTGACATAGCGTCGGTCACGTTGCGTTGGTTTGCAAGGTGCCTGTGTGGTCTGGGCCATAATGGCCCTACGGGTACATTTTAGCTGAGTATAACCAACTACTTTGGATCAATAAAGTTTTGAAAGAAGTCAGAACCTCTACACTTTGGAGGGAAAAAGCACAGGTTGCTGCATTTTTTAGAATATCATCAGATAGCCTTCAGAGAATTATTTCTTGGTGGCATTGCTTATCTGAAAAGGGGTTAAAAATCAGATAGGCTCTTCATCCTCTGTGGCAGACAAGGGACGCTAACAGCATTGCTGTGTGGACATGACACGCAGAGGACCAATAGGCGGCCCACGGTGGGAGCTGGACCGTTCAGCCGGCGCCTTGCCTGCAGAGGCCTGTTCTCAGCCCTGCAATGGTTACATGGATAAAGGGCTCTACAAGGTCCTGTTTTGTGATGAGGGGCCTGGAGAGGGAGGCTAGCTGTGGTTGTCGATTTCTGAAAGTACATGTGGACACCGGCCTGAGTAAGTGGGTAAGATGAGGCAGCAGAGACACGTTGCCCTGTGCTGATGAATTAAAGCCATTCTTCAGCAGAGATTGTTAAAAGTACTCAACGTTTTTGACGCTAAATGGATTAATAATTTCCTGCAGGAGGAACAGCTGAAGTCTCATGAAAGCAAGCTGAAGCAGATTACCACGGAGCTGGCTGAGCACCGCTCACACCCCCCGGACAGGAAGGCAAAGGCCAAGGAGGTCGATGAGTACAGACTGAAGGATCACTACCTGGAGTTTGAGGTGCACTGACCCTTAATGCAATAAATAGCTATACCTGAGAAATTTTATGATTTTTCCATCAGGCAGTAACTTTTCTTTTACAGTACTGTAGCTGTGGGAGGAATCCCCTGACCCTGGGTCTAGTTTGGGAGCTCCGGGCATGGGCTGGGGTGTGAAGGCCCCTCATGCTCACGATTCTGTGTGAGCATCAAACATCCCATAATAGCTGTCAGCTTATGTGCTAAAAGCAAGTTGCCTGTGTGGTGGGAACAGCGTGTGCCTGCTGCAGGGAGAAAGACCACAGCGCCAGCCTGGCACGGCCCGGGGCAGCCACCCTCCGAGTCCTGCGCCCTCCAGTGGAGGCTGAGTCAGAAGCATGGAGGGAGACACAGCACAGGGCAGCAGGGAGCATCAGCTCAGCCCTGCACATTCTTGCTGCGAGGCAACACCGATGCATTTTTCCTCTTATTTACCACTTGCCCTTCACAAGGAGACTGATAAATTAAGCTGTGGCACATCCATGTACTATAGCAACTGTGGTTATTAAAAAGAAGGGGTAGGATCCCTAATCTCTGGAAAGGTGGGAAATGTAAAAGCAGGTTGAAATATTATATAGTGCCTGTTACCTTTGGCCGAATTTTCTCCCAAAGTAGGCAGTGTTAGAACCAAGCAAGACCCTCTGGCGCGCTCCCTTAAGCTGCTGCTTTAAAGGCATTTCAAGTGTCTTTGTTTTTAACGTAGGTAGCCTATAGTGCCAAATGAAGAATCGGGTATTTTTAATCTCGCAGTTTTTGTTCCCATTGTTGCTGAATCCCTCCTACCAAGCCTGCCCTTCTCGCCCTCGCCCCGGTCCCTGTCCTCCTTTCCCCTCTCGCCACTCTGCTTCCCCCTCGGGCCTGGAGCTTAGACTCACCTGAGCACCTGGGCCACTCCAGGATCTTCTCCGGGGCCACTTCAGCCTGCCTGGGCAGACGCCCCTGGGTACCCAGCCCTGGCGCTGCCCCTCACCAGGCCCTGGGGCCGCCTCTTGGTTCTGAGTCCCTTCTACCTGCCCCCACAGCTCCTTTCCTAGGCCTCCGGCCTTGGGCATTCCTCTGCCCTGGAGTGTGCTGAGTACCTGCACACACCCCCAGCTCCCAGGCCTGACCTGACCAAAGCCCCAGTCCCTCCTCTTGGACTGTTTGGCTTCCTTCCACTTTTCCACAAGGTCAGCCTTTGCTCGGCGGCCTCCTGGTGTGCACACACTTCTGCACACTCTCCCCAGCTATGCTGTCACGCCTGTCCAGCTACTTTTGTCCTCCCCAAATGCACTTCCCCTGGTCTGCATTTAAGTCCTGCTCACCTTTCAAGATACAGCCCAGATCCATCCTGTGCACAGCCTACTCTGCCCCACTGGCCATGTCTGTCCTGTCCCAGCCCTTGCCGAGGTCAGTGTGTCTCTCTGCAGGGAATCCCTGCCCCCACCTAAGATGGCACCCCGGGAGTGAGGGACCACTAGTTCATTTCTTTGCTCTATGCTTGCTTGTTGAATTGGGCAGGATTTCAAAGAAGCCTGTAGAAGTGACAAAATTTCTATCACAAAATGTGGCATGTGATTCACTTCAGGGCCTGGCACTGGCTTTCTTCATGGTCAGGGCGGATGAAGGGAAATCTTCCTTTTAGAAAAGGTAAAGGTTTAATAACAAAAACTGTGGAAGCCTTACCAGCAAAAGACTTGAAAAAAGTTTTAAAACCACTAAGCAGGCTTAGACAACAGAGTAGGGTGAGGGTCTCCAGAAAACCAAAATAAGATAATCCACCGTGGGACTTGCTCTGGCCTGCTGGGGGGCCCAGCTTGTTTTTCTGACCTCACTCAGGTGCTGCCTTTCTTCCTCCAGTCCCAAACAAATGATTTGCAACCTGGGCAATGTAGCAAGCAAGCCCAGAACAACTAGTAAAAACAGGATGGATTCCATCTTGAAAATTAGATTGCATTTTAAAACCCAATTTGTTAAAAAGTAACTTTCTTTAACATACTCTTTAATAGACAATAACTCAGTCCACTTTGGGAGCAAAGCAGGCAGCCTTGAGTGATAGCTCCCAGACCAGGAAGCTGCTATCCTGGGAGGAAATCAGAGCAGTAAAATTCTTGTAAATAACCAGGAAGACTAATAAGAAACTTAATGTCTCTTCAAAGATAAACATTTTGGGACCACTTAGCAGGTCTGTATCCCTAGCCCTTTGTCTCTCAACCACCTATAAAATCCCTGGACAGTGCACCACCCTGGGCCTCTCTTGTCCCCTCCTGGTGTGAGCTGGGGGCTCTATCCTCTCACTTTATCTCTAAATAAAAGCCTCTGATTTGCTCCCCTAAAAAAAAAAAAAAAACACTAAGCCGCTCATCTTTCCTAAGGCTTGTTCATTCTTGGGAAATGGGAGTTCTCAAAAAGCCATCTAATCTTCACACTTCTGGAGTGGCTTTGGCTATCCGCCCTTTAGTGTCACACCTGCTAATTAAATCTCCCAACGCCTCAGTCCCCCACTTCCAGCACTCAGCTCCTTGCCTTGAGCGCTGCACCCTGAAGGCTCAGAGCCTGTCCCCAGGAGGCTGCAGGGCCATGGGAAGGTCAGCACCCCGAGAAACACTCTCTGCTTTTGAAGCTACCATGAGGCCCCTTTTCTGAAAAAGCAACTCAGCAAGTGACAGCATTTTCATTTCCTGACATGAACTCAGCCCAGGCTTTGAGAGGATGTCTTTCTTTCATCAAACTGTCACCTCAAGGAGCCTGAGATTGCACACCAGGGCCCTTGGCTCATTAAAATCAGACCATATGCTGTATGTTGAGCAGGTCGGCTCGCCCGCCAAGCCGCCCTGACCTGCAGCTACTAGGAAGGCAGAAGGACCTCACATTATAGATGTTATCTAAAAAAGCTTTTTGTAGAAGTCATCCCTTTTTAAAGGCGAATGAATTGTAATTTTACACTAACAAAACTGAAGCAGTGTGTCTTATGGGATCTGTTTTGCTGTTATTGCAACCACTAGAATTGTCTTGTGTACTCGAGGAGATCCCTGCCCAGCATTACATACTGTGCTTTATAAGCAACATTCCCCGAGCAGCCGCTTCCTGCCCAAGCAGGAGTCTGGGAGCTGCTGGCCCGTTTGCACATCCTGTCCCCTGCTCTGTCCTCGGCTTCTGGATCATGGACTGAGTGTTCAGTACATATTTGTTGGCCGAAGGAGTGGAGTGTTGACTTTTGTGTATAAAGATGCCATCAGCGGAAGCAGTTCTCTGGGAAAGCTTAGTAGCTCCCCTGAAAACAAAGCTAATGAGCAGGCGAGAGCAAACAGCGGCGTGCGCAACTCAGAGGGGCCTCAGGTGGGTGCTGGCCGGGGGCGCCCCAGGCCCACCTGCATCCTCGTCTCCCAGAAGCCTCACAGCAGGAGCTCTCACCAGTCCTGCAATAGGGGCCGCCCTGCAGTTTCAGAACAATTTTTAGAATTTTCGTTTCGTGGTAAGGAAAAGCGCTTTTGTTAGAATATTAAGCTATTGGTAATAACACTGGGGGTTATTATTAACTTTATGTATTTCAGTTGTTTGTATCCCAAGGTGCTTTGAGTACAGACAGTTCTCTGTAGTGGGCCAGATTCACAGCTCTATGCCCTAGAACTTCTCCAAACCCCAACTGACAGTAAATAATTAGAAATTCTGGTATGTAGATAGGTTCGGAGGTATATTTTTTTCAAAGTTTACAGAGAGCAAGGAGACATCCATCTATCTTAGCCTTAGCCTGATAGAAAAAAACTCACTTTTACCTAAAGCAGGAAACTTCGCTCCGAATAGGCTGTAATTGAACAAATCCATGGCTCTCTCTTTGTTGACTATTCATTATGGGGAAGGGGGACTGTTTTTACTGAATGGGGTCCCCAGGCTGTGGCTGTTAACATTTTTAGGAGCGTTCACTTGGAGTCTAATCTCACTTTTGAAAGAGTTGTTAGGCACAAGTCTACATTATGAAACACATCGCTTCCCAATTTCCAAAAATAAATATCAAAAATAGACTCACCTCCTTATAAATTAACTTATTTCTACATTATTCACTTCCCATTTCACTTAAAAATGTTTGAATTGGTCTCCACGCTGCGGGTGCGTCTGGAAGTTTTCCGAGACATGGGATGCTGGAGGGTTTGCACGGATGTAGAGACTGCAGAGCTCCAGACCGCCCAGCCGCAGCAGGTTGGGCTGCGCCAGGAAACTCCTGGGCCCTGTGAGTAGCAGCCCCGCTAAAGAAAGGCCCCAATAGACACAGGCATGGCCCCAGAATGCGGCTTTGTGTTTCTTCAGCTTTGGAAAGTGCCACAACTAGAAAGTGAAGATACTGTTTACTCTAGGATGTTCTTCATGTAACATTTAAGATGTTTTTAGGGTCCTAAATCATCAGTTCTTAAGCCTGAGTAGGAAAGGGAGATTGTCGAGCAGCCCAGACTGCTTGAAAACACGCCAGGCATCAGAGCTGTACTGACACAAGTGGCTAATAGAGGCACCCCAGGTTCGCCGAGATCTGCTGGGAAGCTGGTGGCCTGCACAGTGCCACTGGAACGTGTGTGGCCCGCAGACCCCGTGTCCCCATCTGTTTCCACTGTAGGTGGTGTACATTTAGGGGAAGCAGGCAGTCCCCTCCACACCACTCCCCGTCACCTCACACCTGCACAGTTTCCACACCTGTGTTGGCGGCCCGGCCTAAAGGCATTTGCGTTTGCTTCTGCAGCACATGCTGCAGCCACTTGGACAGGCTTTGTGTGTTAGACCTTTAAACATAGGCTTTGGAATCCTCTGCCCTTTTGTGGTTACTAAGTGGATCCTTCCAGGAATATATGTTTTCAGGTTCCAGCCCAGCAGGAAAAAAGTCCACGTCCCTGATGACTAACCCAGATGCAGAATGAAGTCCCTTTGGCTGGGCCGACTAGAGTTCAGCCAAGTGCCCACTCCTGAATTGCAAGCTGAGGTAGCACATGCTTATGGCTGAGGACAGTTAGGACCCAC